ATATATATACACACATATATATACTATGTATATAGTATATAAATTGTTGTCAACAGTATATATAAGTATATATACTGTTGACAACAATTCAACAAAATATATATTGAATATCTACAATGTATTAGGCAATACTCAGGATGCTGGGGATACAAAGATCTTATATTTGTGAAATTTAAATTCTTGCAGATACCCAACGCACGAAAGTGGAGAATGCAAACAACAAATAAACATGAAAAGATTCTCATTGATTTTCAGGGAGATGTGAAATCAAAGCAGCAATCAGATGCAATTTTAAACCTATCATTGAAAAAATGTTTAAGTTGAAAAATATCAGATTGGTGGGGAGGATTTTGAAACAACAGGAACTACTAGGTGTGGGGCACATGATGGGGATTATAAATCACTAAAGTAATATTGAAGGACATATTGATAATATATAATAAATTTGAAGATGCGTATATCCTATATTTGCATTTTCCTCTCTAGGTATACAATGTTTTATGTAAGGTTACATATATGTATTGTGAAATTGTACAAATATGTAATGGAATGATAGAACATCAAATTCAGGATAGTGCTTAATTGTGGAATGAAAGGTGGGGAAGCATATAAACCAGGGATTAAAATGCATTGGCAATAATTTATTTCTTTAGCTGGATAGTGGATATTTCTGTACCTGCTGAGCTATTCTTTACATATTCTATATACTTTGCATGTCTTAAACATTGAAAAAAATTGGGCATACTCCAAATCCAATCAAGATCAGAAAGACATGATTGGAATGTTACATTACTAAAAGACAGAGGTCTAATGAATGGCATTTCATTTTCTCAACAAAAAGAATGTTTTTAACAATCTTGAGCTGATCTGTAGAGCATCTATAAAAGGAAAACAGCAGAACAAGAAATTGTTCTCGTAGAATCTGGAAAGTATGCAGGGGAGAAGATTCCATACCTGTTTGACTTGATTGTGTACCAGGCAATGAGCCTTCAGAGTAATATCTGGCGTGCTCATTGATAGTAATATTTGTCACTGCAAAGTAACAAATATAAAAGCCGAAATCTCTCTTTATAGCTCAGAGGCACCATAGGGTAAGGATCTTTTCTGTTTTGTTCACCTGTGTATCCTCAGCACACAGCACCAAGATTGACACATAATGAATGAAAACTGATTCTTAAAAAATGGATAAATGAATCTTTTAGGTTGTTTCAATCAACTTTGGGTATATTTAACATTTTAATTTCTAAACTAAAGACTAGGCCTTGGAATAGATGACCCTGCCAAGATAGCATGAGAAGCCTGTGGACAGGCCACCTTGCCTTAAACGGTAACTCTTTGGCATAAGGATTATTCTGAGCAGAAGGTACTGGAAAATTAGCAAATGCAGGAAGAGGCTTTCTCCAAACTCCTCTTATCTGTCTCAAGACAGATCCTGTAAAATAACTCAATTGTTATAAATCACTTCCCCAGGGGTTTCATCAACCAGGTAAGATTGACTCATTCATTACAGAAGAGGAGACTAGAAGTCTAGAAGATACCATACCCTGATATACTTCGTTACAAACTATCATATTTTCCATCTATTCTTCTAAAGGCTCATTCATCCTTTTTCAAAATCATTTACTCTCCCCTAAGAGGCCTAATCCTCCTTTCCCTTCCCCTACTGAGATGATATATTGAAAAAGGGCCTGGTTGGGACCCCCATAGTAGAGGTCTCACAGCATCCCCGGCTTCACTTTTCCTTGCTCTATAGCTTAACAATAGATTGTCCCCAGCGGCTTGACCCAGGGCTTGCAACGTCCCTTGCCATAGACTGTTCCCCTGTCCTCATGCTTACTGATCACAATCCTCCTGATCTAGCATTCTTTCCAGACTACTCTCATCTTTGTTCCTGGGTTGCTAATGCCACTGGAGGACCATGTTGACAGAAAAATGGCTCCATGAAGCACAACAGACTCTCCCCCAACCCCCCACCCCATACCTAGAACCTTCACAGTCTCTGGAATAATGCCCAGATATTTCCTTAAATACCCTAAGCCAGACTGAGAAGCCAAGGTAGTTTTGAAAGTGTTAACTTGCTGCCTTCTCAGATCACTTGTGCTCTGATAATAAACGCTTATTCTAAGGATCCCAACTCCTGTGTCAGTCTATTGGCTGAGCGGCAAAGGCAGCACAAGCCCCAGACTTGGTTGTCCTCCGGTTTCAATATAATCTCTGAAATTTCACTGCTTTTGGGGGTATTCACTTTTTATTCCCGTGATGCCCCTATGCTCGTAATGTTAAAAATTAATAAATTTGTAAAAAAACAAACTAATTGAAAACAGACTCACAAATATAGAGGACAGTCTAGTGACTGCCAGAGGGGAGGGAGGTTGGGGCTGGGAGAAAGGAGTGAAGGGTTAAAGTAACACAATTAATAGTTGAAAGATGGTCATGGGGATGGGGAGTACGGCATAGGGAATGCAGTCAGCAGTAGTGTAATGTCTGTGTGTAGAGCCAGAAGGAAAACAGAGTAATAAGGGGGATTGTTTTATAAACTATATAAATGTCTAACCAGTGTACTGTATACTTGAAACTAATAATAAAATAAAATACATTAAAAATTAATAAATGCGTATACCTTTTCTCTAATTAATCTGCCTGTTATTGGTTTATTTCATAGAGCAAGCTATTGAAGCTAGAAGGGTGGAAAGTTCTTCTTCCTATACCCTCTTCCGGCAAAATGTCATTCTTGTCACTTTTCTCCTTCCTTTTTTCCCTCTGTTCCTCTTCTCTCTTTTCTCTTTTTCTCTTCCCTGCCCCCCCAACCCAGTGCATTCTTTAAACTCTAACACTTTTGACTAACATTCCTAAATGCAAAGGAGAATTTTGAAAGAGGAAGCTGTTGTAATCCATTTCCTAAACCATTCATTGATTTAATTATACATCTGAAAAAGACTTCAATGTTCAGTAGTTAAAACAGTTCATTGCTTAATTTTATAACCTGCCTAAATGTTCCAAAAATAGTTTGGCTATTAATGAATGAGCCTTTACAAATATTTACTCTGCATTTGTGTTTCTGGTAGAATGCCAATGAGAGGCTCATGGTAATGCAGAGGCCTTCTGGGTTAAGATGGTGGACAGAACACAACAATTTAATTTGGTTCCCTCCCTAAAACTACAATAGGGGGATTAAAAAAAAAAAAAAAAGACACGAAGGCTCAAAGATGGGGAGGACAACAATAATAAGGCTTTGGAAGCTGAAAAGGAAATTGATTGAAAACTAACTTAGAAAAAGCTGAATTCTATGGCAACAGTGTAGAAAATTGAAAACAGACAATCATATTGCAGGATCACTCACAGATTCAAATTCTTCCCCCTATCCTTTCCCTGGCTCTATTGTACTCTATGACTATTTCTCCCTGCCTCCAGTAGAAGTTGGAATCTCTGGGGAGGATAACATTAAAGTCTCTGGATTGGGGGACAGCAGGCACCATTGAGAGCATTGAAACCATTCAAAAATGGATGTTTACATGATCACATGCATCCTGCACGCTAAAGCTCCACCTCCTGCTCCACAGCCCTCATCAACCATTCAGTTCCCAAATTATGGCAGCCAGATCTTTACCCTCTAGACAGGAGATTGGCAAACTTTTTTCTAGGGAAGTCTGTGCAACCCAAGAGAGAGGAAGTAGATAAAATGACATTTAGGATTGCCCAACAAATAAGTTGCCCTACAGTAACCTCAAAATACACAAGAGCTCTCCTCGTACACAGAACTTCCAATCAGCTCTTAATCATGAGCAGAAAACCAAAGATCACCAGAACTCTAAAGAATGTCTCTGTCATGCAAGATAAAGCTAAA